ATGGTCCATCTGTTTCCCTCTGCAAGCTTTTCCAGTCAATTGTATCTTTCAGGGAATTCTACATTTCACCCACCTCTACATACCAGATATAACAATGCTGCTTTTTTGTTACAGCATCTCTAACCCTGGCATTCCAAAAGGACTGCTGTTACTAAATAAATGCTCTAAGCCTCTCAATTTGTTTCACTCTCCAACTCCTACACCATGCAAAGAAAGCCAAAGTGGAACTGAATTAAAGACAAAAGGACTGTAAACAACTAACTCCAAAGTGATCGGGTACACAAACTGTTTAACTCTGGGGATTAAAGATGGCACCATGGAGTAAATCTGTCTGCACTGGCAGCGTGAAAAATACCACTTTTGTCTTTTATCTTTCATACACAAAACTGAATGCTTTTTTCAAACCTTCCTATTTCTTTGCCTGCAACAGAAAACAACAAGGAAATGATCAGGGCCATGAAAAGGTTGTTTAATTTCAGGAAAATATTCTCAAGAGAACCACTATTTTTTTTTTAACAAAGCATTAAAACATTTAAAAATCAGCACGTGCACAAAAGATTAAAAATTACTGGAAAGTTGTAAGACTCAGACAATTCATCATGTTCAAAATTTCAGAATAATGATTTTAGCTAACTGTGCAAGTACAAAGATATTTCCCCCCCTCCTATTTAATAACCCTCATAAAGGTTGTATTATACCACAGGAAAAAAAAAAAAAAAGACTGAGGAACCATATCCTGTTCCTAGAAAAACAGTAGCATGAAAAAACTGTTAGTCCTTTATGAGAAATGTTGTAAGAAGCCCACAAGATTGTTAGGCAAAATCCACAGGGCTCTTAGCTGAAGAAAAAACAATTGAGAACATATCATCATTATATTTTAACTTTGAAATAATAATTTAAAAAGTTTAATTGATCTTCTTTAAAAAACAAACAAACACCTCACTGCATGTAGTTTTGTCAGTAATGAGTTAAGGTCACATTATATAAATAACCCTGTTTACAATGTCCAAAAATGCTAAACCCTTAGTGTTTAACCCCCTGCCCCATGTAAATACACTACTAGGTCATCTGTGTAATAGTGGCACATTTAATAATCAAAGGAAGAAGACTTCCACACAATAATCACACAGATTTAGTTTTACTGGTAGTACGATTGCTAATAACACTGAAAAAAGAATCCTAAAAGAATCCAGCACTCCTGTGTCCAAATATTGCTTCGACCCTCATCCCTAGAAAAGAGTTCTTATATATCACCACAAACAGCAAAAAGCTGGCTTAGGAAACTTAACTTACTAGTTTCTTCCTCTCCCCCCTCCCCGCTCCCCCTATTCTAAGCTTATCCTATTTAGTTTACGGGTTGGATGATTTCATTAACAGAATTCACAAATGTCAGACAAAACGACATGAGCAACGTGGGGTGCCGCAGACAACTATATTTACATGTATAAACATTTCCAAATCTCAAGGTTTACAAGTAAAAGTGCACATAGATCATACAAAGTTATCACTCCAATTTTCAACTGGTCCTTACAATGAAGCATCACTTGGAAACAGACTAGCACTGCAGTTAATCGGAAACTGGAGTCCTTCCCTACTCCCAAAACACACACACACACATACACACACACACAAAATAAAGAGACAATCAAGAGAGAGAGGGGAAAAATGGTTCATAAAAATCCTATTAAAGACATTCATTAGACATAAAATGAAACTGATACATGTAGTTCATTTTCAATGCAGAACGTTTACAATGTGCACATGTATCATGTCATGGTAGAGCTCTAGAAAACGTCTACCGTTGGCTACCGGCAGCTGCAGTACTTGTAGAAGGATAGATTCAGGAGGTCAGACGGAGTTGAGACGCAAAGCCCTTTGTGGGATACTGAAGTGGTAGTGTTGGCAATCAGCAGATTTAGGCACTCGAGACTTTAAGGCAGCATCTGAATGGCAAGCACTTGTCTTCTGAAAACAGTCGTTTGTCTTGTAGTGGAAAAAAAAATCTGTGCTGTTATCCTAGGTTTTCAGTGCTTGTGAGAAACTACGGAGGCGCTGAAGGTGGGCTGCGGTTGCCTAGTGCTGAGATGTGCTTGTTCCCCCAAAACAAAAGGAATGTTAAGTTCAAATAAGTTATAATGCCAAAGGACTGGAATGTAACGATGGTCATAATGAAAGGCGGAAAACACCATGTTAATAGCAGCATACATAGGTACTGAAATAAAAACTTTAGGGCTGGAGACATATGTAAAGTGGATTGGCTAGAAGTGCCGAAGAGGAGGAGGAAGAGCTATGGAAATACAAAACATTAAGCAAGCATGCCTGACAACTAACTAGACATGCAGAAGAAGGTTAGGGCGAGCATGGAGGTGGCACAGGCAGAGACTGTCAATGACGTGGTTTGGACTGAATACCAGTTGAAAGTGGGCATGGAAAATGAGACAGCTGAAAACAGCCAATGTACAATGCAACTGGAAGAGTGAGCAGGTTTTTTGAGGCCATGAAAAGCATGTCTTTTCAGGTTGGATGGTGGTTTGGTTCTGTTGGAATGGAGCTTTAGTTTACCACAACTATTTTTAACACACAGAAACACCAGCCTTGTTAGTGAGAAATGTATGCCTGCATGCCTTCATGCAACTGGCTTCCCCCCCCTCCCAATCTTGATGGGCCTAGCACCCTCCCCCCAAATGCAGCTGCATGTAACCTCCTTCAACATCTCGCCCATTTTCTCAGACCCCGCTTCAGGAACCTGCAATCCAAGAGGAAAAAACAGAGAAGAACAGAATTACCAGAGGCCTTTGAAAAGAGAGAAGTGCACTCATTTTTTTTTAAAAAAAGAAAAATCCCATCTCAAATGGCTAGAGAATAAATCCCCTTTATGCAAAGGTGATGGCACAGAGCCTTTTTGACCTTTCTCCACATCCCCTTTTTCAGACAGCAGCTCATTTGGATGTGAATTAGTGTAACTTGGCTTCCACGTCCACCTTCCCAAAAATGTAAGTTCTAGCAAAAGGAACCACATTTAGAGCAGTCTGCATATAGCTGCACCCATCACATAGACTAAGAGTCATGCGTTCCTGATCCAGTGATCTGTTCTAGGTAGCATGCCCATAAGAATCATTCTGTTTGCAATAGCACCCCATTCTTTTTAACAAAATGAAGCTAATCTGCATCCACATATGTTTAGTGCGTGTACATTGTCTCCTTCTGTTGGAAGGAATGGCATCTGCACCAATTAGACGCCCGTGGGCACATGGCATTGGGATGCACAAAGTTCTGCACATCAGGCAGAAGCATTTTCAAGGACGGATTAATCAGTTACATTTTAGGAACTGAAGAATCTTGATAACAGATCCAACCAGAAAGAAATCACACTGAGTACACATAAAGAGCCAGAATTTCTAACAAGAAGAGACCAAAACCAGGCACAATTGCCATGCTGTGCCGAATTCCCTATGATCACTTTTCCTGAGTACCTTCTGCATGTCATCATTTCTGCAAGTGCAGATAAGATTCCTTAAATAAAACCTACAAAAAATGTTTACAGAACAAAGATGCTTGTAAACATGAGCTGCAATCCCCATCCCACAATCCCATTATGTGCAGAAAATGGGCTTGAACACTTGCAGCAGTAGGTTCGCCTTTGTCTTCTGAACTAGAATTCATGGTACTGGATTGTGTGCTGCTTTCGTGAAATACATGTGATGCAGCAACAGGCAGAGGAATGAAAAGGAGGAGGCTGCCTTTCAGAAAATAAGAAGAGTTGATCTGCTTGTTCACTTTAATATAAATTGAGTTTAGAAGGTAGACACTGGAACAGATTCTTGTTTGGTGAAGAGGGCAGGGTAATCTAGAGACTGTATATACTAATGTGTCAAAACAATGCATTCTAAAAAAACAATTAACATCCATTTAAAATCTTCAAATGAATAGAAAACTTTACAAAATTTAAAATTAAGGAAACCAAGAAAATGCAGTAGCCTGGTCATTGATTGCGAGAGAATACTTAAAATCCCATAAGCAGACAAAAACAGGTAGAGAAATAAGTCAGACATGGCACTGGCCAAAAGTTGTAGAAGAAATGATGCAAAATACAGCCACGTTCTTCCAGTTTCAGTATTGACGTCTCAGCTTGGGCTCACATAGTGAACAATAGACTGAAAGCTCTCTTAAATGCTCTAACACTTCTCATCCAACCGTACGTGCTTCAGTATTCATTAAGGAATGTTCAGTTGTAAGCTGATGGACTGAAGGTTAGATATAGGTTACTGCACCTTTACTGTTTTTCTCTAGTGTTACATCTATGTAGGAGGTTGGCACATATCCTTCTTCTCCATTTTGTCTCCGAGCTCTTGTCCATCCATCCCCTTTATCTTCCTCGATAATGTACAGAACTTCTCCTTCTTTCATTGCTAGGGTACCTTCATTGTGACCTAGGGCGGCAGGGAAGGAAAACAAAATCTCACATCTCTGATAGGACTGAAAGCAAGCTTTCTGTTGCAGCACTCAGTTTCTATACACAGGAGGAAACATCAACTCTGTGCTATGGAACATATGCTCCAAATGTAGGCCAGGAAACAAAAATCTGGTCTTTTGTTGTAAAGCTGAAAGCATGCCAATGGCTGTTCATGTACACTAACATATTTGTTTTGTTACAATGCAGAAATACGATTCTGCCATTAAACAAAGATGATTTATGGTATTTCCCAGAAACTAAACTGGCTGCTGGAAAGGTTTAAGTTTAATTAGATTTAGCACCTTTCATACACATATACAAACACACACCCAACGGTCGGCCTTAACGTAACCTTACCATCAAATGGGTAGATTGCTTTGCAGTGTCCTATAGCTGGCAAAGGGTCATCATCTTCAAACTCATCATCAAATTCATTATGAGGGCCATGCTGCTGTGGTGGGCTTCGGACTTCTTGGTTGGCATCATCTGTGTAACTCCCCTCAGGGCTATAATGAAATTTTTAACACAAAAGACCTTTACAGAGCCAGTGAGTGGTGTAGCGGTCTGAACGTTAGACTACGACTCTGGAGACCAGGGTTCGATTCCCCACTCGGCCATAAAACTCACTGGATGACCTTGGGCAAGTCATGCAGTCTCGGCCTCAGGGGAAGGTAATGGCAAACCTCCGCTAAACAAATCTTGCCAAGAAAACCTCATGATAGGGCTGCTTTAGGGTTTGAAGGCACACAACAACAAAAAGACTTTTATACTTACCAAATTAAGAGCCACAAGAATTTTATATATATAATTTTCCCTCCTCCAGAATATTTACAGACCTTACTACAGACACCATATCTCTCTGAAGCAAGTTATGCTTGGCAAACTCTACATAGGCAATAAGTGTGATAAGTGCAATAAATAAAAATAGGTGCTTCTGGTAAGTCTTGGTATGACACACACATACACACAGGCAAAGGGTGGACTTCTGTGGAGGCAGAATATGGATTTCCTTGTCCTTGGAGCAGAAGGGGGCACCATGTAGCCTGCATGTACTTTGCCCCCTGCCAATGTCTGCATCCTCTTCCCACCCCTGCCCTCACCATAGGTTCCACGGCTGCTGTCACAATTCAAGCAAGTCTGCTGGGGAACATGGAATACAAAGAACACATAACATGTTTCCAAGCAGCATTATACTCCCAGAAATCTGCTTGGAAGTGTGCTTCTGCTGGAAAATAAGAACACAGGTTCCTTGCACCCCATGTTTATGAGTAGGATTACTGGGACTTCAGTCATGGTATGACAACAATGGCTGAAGGAGGGTGCAACTCTTGGTGCAATTCAGTCTCACCCCAGGAAGTTGCCCACTTGTACCGTAGAAGCATCTGAAACTAACTGAAAGCATTTGGAGTGAAATACTGAGGGGAAGTGAGTTGACAGAACCTTGACATCCTTGTAATTTCATGAAAAATAAGCACCATTTGTAATATATTTAATATCTTCTTCCTGGTAGATTAGGATACTTATTTTTTATCGATTGTGTTCTTAAAATGGTACATCAGAGGAAGAACAAGAAAAATCAATCAACAGAGAAATACAATACTGTTATTAAAACTACATTTAGTCTTAAAGTCAACAAATGTAACACTCTTAGTTCAGGAATTTGGTAAACCCTGGAAAAGCCTAACTGCTAATTAAAGCACTGCTCCACACATTTGATGAAGTGTACTTCTGCCCACAAAAATTTAGGTCAAACACAGCTTGCTACTCTATAAGGTTCCACAGGACTTTTCATAGTTTTTGCCACAATAGATTAACCTATCTCCCTGTCAGACAATGGAGATGTAGAGTACAATGAAACTGGAGCCATTTAATGAAAAAGTCCTATAATGAACTCTTGAGAGGATATTTTCCTGTGGCATGGGAATTTGGTGCAGGATTTTGGTTGTAAATCTGAGTTAGGAGGACTAGAGAGAAGGGAGCTCATGAAAAGAGAAGGCCTTTATTCTAATTTGTTGACATATCAAGGAGAAGGTACACGAGAGAAGACTGCAGACAACATTTGAAGACTTTCTTACTTATCTGCAATGTGATATGTTATTTTCAGCTCTAACAGTCACAGTGGTTTTTCTATAATAAAGTAATTTCAACTACAATGGCAATGTCACTATGAGGTACATTCTAAACCATTGGGAAGAGGGGAAGAGTAAGGCAGGAAGCCAAATGGAACAAGGTTCTTAAGAAATTCTTTGCCAAAAGGCAGACTTTTGATAGATTACCAGTGGGAATGTTGAGCATTTTTACAAAGAAAACTACAGGCACTATAGTAAAAAGGTTTAATATAGTCACCTTTCTCTTCCTTGGGTTACAAGATGGTTGATGTCACTACTGTGTCTTCGATCTCCTCTTGATGCTACTTTACCTTCAACTTCAGAAAGCCAGGCCTTGAAACAAAGAGAGAGGGAAGACAGACAAAGAGAGAAGTTATCACTTGGCATAATACAAAAGTAAAGAGTTTAGACTAAACTCAATCCTGAATTTAGCTATCATCAGAACAGTGGTAAGCAGAAGGTGGATCAGGATATTTTCTGACTCCCAACTCTTTAATAATAAGAGAAAAAAATTAAAAATAATAACTAAGTGACTGACTCCACAGCACTCCTCCTGCTCATTATACAGCTAAAATTTAAAGAGCTTATGGTGGCAATCCAGAGCAGATGTTCTCAGTGAGCTTAGTTCAGTTCTGTTACTCAAAAACGTTCAGTTCAGAATTCTTCAATTCTATATTAATTATTTTGCTTCAATTGCCAGTTGGTGGGCTTCAAGAAACTAGCAAAAATGCAATAAATTGCAAAAGTGTAACGCCTACCCACCCCAACACTTGACAGCTACAGAAACTCAGAATGCCTGAATTTTTAAGATGTCAATAAAAACCAGAACATGTTCAAATTATTACTGGAGAATTCCTATCAGATTCACTGAACCAGTTGATAAAGAGCTTTTCAGGTTTTTTCAGCTAGTTCACCTGCTTGTTCTGAAAGTCTCCCAATTAATTTTACTGTCATGATGATCCAATATATTCTGAGAAGTACATCAGTAATCATTTGGATTATTCTACCATCAATAATATTACAAAACTTAGTCCAACAAAACATTTTTATATTCTTCCAATATTCTTCCAGATGTTCTGTATAGAATAGCTATGCTCATGCCTGACTTCAGTGTGGGCACTGACCACCTTCGGCATCCTACAGCCAAAACTAACCATATGATTTTCATCAGCTTCTCCCTAGACTGAACAATAGGACCAACAGGGTAGAAACTGCAGATGTGATGAACTGTAGTAGAAAACATGACCGTCCTGGTACTTAAAACAGGAAGAATGAACTGTGATGTTGCTGAACTGCAACTCCAGATGTTGTTAGACTGCAACTCCTAGCAGCCCTAGCCAACACAGCCAATTGTAAAGAAGGCTGGAAGTGTTGTCCTAAAACATCTGGAGGAACACATAATCCCCACCCCTTGAAATACCCCTTTGGAATATGGGAGAATGCCTTGCTCTGAAAACGTTTACTACCCCTCTGAATGTAATACCATACAGTGAACATTTTTAACCTCGTTCTTGTGGATTTCCATTCGGAGACGGTCCATGTTGCTCATAGTCTCAGCCAATTTTGGCTGAAGACTGCTTGGATCACCCATCTGTGGATTTTTTTCATACACATCTTTCATTTTGATGAGTGCATCTCTATAGGAAAAATGAATAATGGATTAGAAATAGGTAAATGTTGCAAGGAAAAAAGAACAAGAACCTTCTACCCTACTACAGTTATTCATCTTTGAGAGAATGGTAGTGGAAGGGAGAAAGAGAGACCATGAACCATGTTGCTAACACCTGGGAGATATTGTCAGTTACAAACGTAGGGGAGTCTGATTATCTATGACTGAAGATTTAGCATTGTTGTAAAGTTCCACCAAACAAACTCCAGTCTGCCTCTTTTTCTCTTTACCTTCCTTCTGACATAATGCAACATAATCATTTAAGCACCCAACATAATAATTTAATGGTTCAGAGAGGATGGTGGGCAATGAAAAAGTGCATGGCAATATTTCTCCACATTGACGAATGATGATAAAGGCACCCTCCAGAAACTCCTGGGAATCCTCCAGAGATAATGGAGAACGATGTCTATGCTGTGTATCTGGCTGAACGACTACAGCCAAACGCTCCTTGCCTGGCTCCCATCCTTCCCTAGGCCACTAAATGACCACAGAGGTGATCATTACACAGACGAGATAGTGCATGCCTTCTCCTACCATGACTACAAAATTGAAAATTAAGAAGCATTACAAGTGTATGTTACCAACCGGATACTAGCTAACACAGGTAAAAAAAAAAATAAAGCTTTGTGAAGAATTTGTAAATTAGTGATGTATAAGAAAGAGAAGTAAGGGAAAAGGAAGTGACAAGAACAGAAGAACAAAAATACTTTTGATCTGTCTCTTTCTGTAGCTCTCTATTAAGTTCATCAATCCGCTGTTGTAGTTTCTTCCGTCTTTGTTCTGGTGGCAGGTGGCTGAAATCTTCTTGCGCAGGACCCTGAAACCAAGTGAAATACAACTCTTAGAAAGTGAAGCTACACATGGGACATTTCTACAGGCAGCTCTCATACGACCAACCACATTTCTTCACTGAAGCAGCATTATGGGACTCCCCATACCCCCCCCAACACATACAACAATGCTGGAAATCATGGCTCCAGAAAAACACATTATTTCATATTGAACTGTGGTCTTGATAGCCTGTTATTCACATTCTTCTGCCTCCATTCATTTTTGCAGCCCACATTTGGCAATGTGGCACCAATATAAATCTTATATGTTCAACAGAAAAAACACAGCATACAGGGAGCATGCGTCTTGTTTTAAAGGGCAATGTTGTTCTGTGAAAAGTGGTTCTACTTTGCAGCAAGGTACATACTCCCCGTATGCCATGTTTTAAACCACCCACACATGTACACAAAACCATTTTATTCTGTTTTAACAAACTGTAAGTGTAGTTTACTTCCACCTCAGATGGATTGGAGAAGGAGGCAGCTGGTCCCTGGACCCACGGGGGAAAAATAAAACAAAAAGCAAAACTGAATGTCACACCAGAAATTCCTGTGCAATCTGCTGGTGGTTTTAGCACCCCTGTTTTAGCATGATGCGTATGTTACACACTGAGTGGCTCACATGCTTCTTTCCTCCTGTCTTTCCCTCCCATGTAACCAGGTGGAGGCCTTCAGAAGCTTTTCCTTTCATTATTACCTAACCTCAGTGCATCACATTGTCTGGTCCATTAAGGTCCAAAACTCAATGCAGAAATAATCCACTTTGAAACCACTTTAACTGCCCTGGCTCAATGCTAGGGAATTCTGGAAACTGTAATTTTGTGAAATGTTTAATCTTCTCTGTCAGGGAGCTCTGGGGCCACAATAAACTACAATTCCCAGGATTCTCTAGCACTGAGCCTGGACAGTTAAAGCGGTCTCAAACTGGATGATTTCTGTTGTGTCTTTTGGACCTAAAAGATAAAGCCAAAGCTTCCAAAATCCTAAGAAAGGGAGACCACATGAGC